CGGTGTTTGCCATCGGGATTGGGTTTTCGTCGCTTGGCAACGACGCTGTAAAGCAAGCCAATTCACTTCGTGAACTCGGCAACCAGGTTACCGTTTTTGTTTTTTACCTCCGTTTTTTTTTGGCGGTAACCATAATGGTGGTCAAGTAGATCATGTTGTGCGGGGTCGAGAACCCTCACTCCGCGCAAGGGGGATGATCGCACCACGTTGTGTTGAAATGGTCAAGCACCCTCGAGGCAGTTACAACTTGCTTCCAACTGTCTCTGGAAGTGAACGCACCAGAAAGTAAATAAAGTCATACCCAGCTGTCATCCGTACGCAAGGAAGTAAGCACAAGGTGCCGAAAACCCTTAGCAGGATGCAGCGCACCCTTCATGCGACTCGCCGAATATCTCACGGCGCTTCGCGCTTGGTGATGTGAGAGCCTGGTCCGGTGAGAACCCGGCGTGCTCCGTCCCGGCTTTGTAGGGATGCGAGGTCAATGGTCTAACGACTACGGCATGCACGACTATGAGTACATCCCCCCCACCCCCCCGCCCCTCCCCCCGTCAACTACCTTCCTGACGCGCCACGACGCTTCGCAATCGCCAGCTCCGACGGCAGCATCATGCCCTACGACGGAGCCGTAGCGGTCACGTGCGCGCCTGCGACAACTCCAACACTGACGCCGGCAACCAGCCCCGTGCCCACCACCGACGACGATGGTACTGCGACGCGCATGCCCGTTGAGGGCACACACTCGCCGGGAACGGCGGCGCCGGTCGTCCCAGGAGGAGAAGACGGCGGGGGGGGCGGCGACACAGTGGTGATCGCGGCGAGCGTGGCGGGCGGCGTGGCGCTCCTGGCGATCTTGGGAGCGGTGGCGTACAAGTTCAAGGACCCGCCGCCGTCTTACGACGACGCGATGGGGGCATGAGGGGGGAATGCGACGAATAAGAGGCAGGTGGGCTGCTGGTTTTTGGGGCGTGCTTTCGTGCGCGATGATGATTGGCTGACGGCTGCGGCGGTTTTGGGCAGAGATATGTTACTGCTGGCTGGCGGCGGTGTTGGTGGCGGTTTTTGGCTTTGAGGAGCGGATGGATGTGTTTGTTGGCTCTGGTCTGTTGGTGCCAGGCGGGAACGGGATTGTTGGTGCAGGCCTCGATCATGCCGCCAACTCGCTTTTGAACGAACGGCGCTTGTTTGTGGCCGAGACAACAACCGGAACGTCCGTGTACGGATTGGTCGCTCGTGATGGCGATACCCCTGGTAAAACTACTTTCTATGGCGACGCCTTTGGCTGTCTGCTGCTGTGCTAGTAGGACTCGTCAAGCGTCTGCATTAGCGGCATGGTGGATAGGGTTGAACGAGAAAGCATTGCGTTGATAATTTTTTCGTGGATGTTTTCTTTCTTCTCGTTTTCTTGTTTTTTTGTGGGTTTGTCATATTTTGCTTGTTGATCTATTGGAGGGAGAGAGCATCGAACATTTGGCCCGCGGCATGTATGTACACCTGGTGACGTTGAGGCAGGCAAGGCGCTGTTCCTGTGCGGTGTGGCACCTTTCCCCTCGAGTCATCGTGAGCGTTTTGTCACCGATTCGTCGATTTGCGTGTGTCCATCTGATGCTTGTGAGTGACGGGGGTGGTGAGTGCCCTTATGGTTGTTCGCGAGATGAGTAGCAATGGCCCTTGCGTGTTGTTGCCCCAGCATGCGCTCCGGTAACTTGTTCCTTGAAACCAATCGTTCGTTCGTTCGTGCCCATTGGTGGAAGAGGCGAGTGTCTCGGAGGATCGTTAGCCGTGTAGTGTTTCCGAGCGATGAGGCGCTTTGCTTTGGAGGCGTCTGTGTTGCGCATTCCTCGACCATTCAATGCACCAGCCGCAGGCTCTGGAGTTGCTGGTACCAGCGAGGGTCGTGTGCGGTATGATGCCTACAGAAGGTGACGCAATCCCCCCCAGGGAGAACGACCCGTGCGCAATGCAGGATGGGCAACGGCGCGGGCCGTGTACCAGTTTATTGTGTAGCGGGTGGTAGTCTTCGACGCAATTTCGCTTCTTTCTTTTGTTCTTTGCTTTTTCCTTTCTGCGGGGGTAAAAGCAAAGGCCCGATCTGGCGGTTTTGTTCCGAGTTTCCGAGGGAGCCGGTTGTCACGCAGAGATAGGCCTCTTAGGGTCGCGACTACATCGCGACGCGCCCACCACCGCTAGCGCCGTGCTCGCGGACATTGGCCAAACTCAAGCGCTGGTCAATCTCGTTGCTGAGCTGGTGCTGGTGGCGTGCTGAGTGAATAATTCTACACTGACTGCTGTGTACGTTGTTGTTGTGTTTGGTCTAGAATGGGGGCGTGTACGATGCTTTGGTATTGTTCTCCAATTGTGTGTGGTTGTTTGGCTCTTGTTGTGCAGCGCGGCGTATGGTTTTGTTACAAACTGCTGTTGCGCGAAGAGAAAAACGAGAGCACTCTTTTTTTCATCTTGTATCGTTTGAGGTAGTCAAACATCAGTGCGTGTGCGTGTACAAAGAAGGCAGCGACGTGGCGTTCCTGGCTTCACCGGCCTCCCGCCACCTCCGCGCCCAGCCAACCATTTCAGCGTGGGAATGGGGAACGGCCGGTCATCCTTTGATTTTGTCTACGATTGTTTTGCCTCTCGTGTTTGTCGCTCTTTTTTTTTTTTTCTCGTATATCTTGATAACGAGAGGTATTTGTAGGGGTGCCATAAGCGTAGTGACCCTCTGCAGGCATTCTTGCGGCCAGGAGATCTTGCGCTGAAGTTCCTTATGGCGGTGACGCCCCGATAGTGTATGGAGGGGATGCCGCCGTGAAGACATACTTAATGTACACCTTGAGTTTGTTTTTCACTCGTATTTTGTGTAGCTTCTCCCTTTTGCTGGATCGATCGTGCTCCGATCTACCTACAGCAGTACAGCCTTTTGCCTCCCTTGCCTACGCAGCAAGTCCTTGTAGTTACTCCGATCCGGGAGGACGATAAACGGTTGTGCTGCCGCGCAGCTTTCATCATTGTATCTTTCGTAACGTACCGACAGCAGCGTATTTTAGCAGCTCAAGGTATCCTTGTGGTGAGTACAAACAACCACAAGTAGCTGCGATGACCGCACGGAGGAAGTAAGAACGCGAGGTTACGAAGGAACGGCAGAAATACAAGCGATGTACGTGACTATGTACATGATACAACAAAAGCGATCTTCATGCATGGTCGAATCCTTCGTGTGTGTTTGTATGTACGCCGCACTTCGCCTTCACGGTCCATGAGGGAAGGGGGCCGCTGAGTCCTTCTCGCGGCGATGATGCACGTATTCACACAGTAGTAACTGCAGTACAGCACATACCACATCATACTGCTGCTGTACACCCGAGCAACCAGAGGCACAACATGCATACATACAAAATGACACCCCGTACCGCCCACTCAACACATGTTGTTGTTGTTGTTGTCTTCACAGTAAAAACCGTTCCGATCTCTCTCTACCCAGTACCTTCGTATGTCCGTACTGATCCAACACTCGACGCGGTCGATTCCCGTGGTCGCAGGCCAACTTACACTCAAAGGGTACACTCAAATAAAATGGCCCCGAGGGGTCCTCAAGTCAATAGAAATCAACGACAGATATTCTGGAGTCCTCCACTCCCTCTGCCCGCTATGCGAGGTAACAACTGAGACTAGGAGT